TTGATATTCTATCCAGGTACCGTTTAGCAATGCATCTAAGATTCTGACGCGGCATGGTAAAAATATTTTTGCAATAAATAATCTCGACATGGACGACGAGGAAGAAGATATCTATTATAAATTATGTTATGGGGTGCATTATACTGGCTACTGCGTGAATACATGGAATGAACCCTTTCAACTTAAGCTCCTGCGATTTAAACAATATTTAAGATGTCGAAGACTAGCAATTGACACATCTTTTGAAGCCTACATAACTGTGGGCGAGTGTATCTCTTCCGACACATTTGTGAAATTTGGTCCTTCCATGTTGAACGAAAATGCAATTGTAAAATACTACACTGATCTTACCAAATTAGATGAAAACAAACTGTGTATTGGAGATGGCGTATTCTGGTATGAATTTAAAACGTGGGGATACAATCTGCTCGAAAAGTTTGAAAGAAAGAGTTTACATTGCTCGTGGAATTAAATTGTGTATCGGCCATTCGATCCAATGAGATATCAATTATGGAAGACGAGTATCTGATGACAATATAGACAAAAAAAAAAAAGCCATTTAAATGTATCAAATATTCAGATTCTTCTTTATTTGAAAATACATACAGCCTCAACTAACCTATCATTTTCTGTGCATCACAAGTCAAGTCTGCAAGTGGATTGAAGGGCACATTCATTTAAAGCATAATTTGGATAATGGGACCCATCCACACGTTTGTGGGGTTTCCTTTTCTTTTAAGTCTGCTAGCCAGGCCAATTCTTTATACAAGGATCAAGAGTTGACAGTACAGGCAGAGAAATTGCTAGCTGCTTTGCATTCCACATGGGGAGTAGTTCAATCTCTGGCGATGGAGAAGCTCAGCTTCACGGCACCACCAATTCCAAACATGGTGGTTGGATCACCTTCCCCTTCATTATAGGTCTCTCTCTCTATATTCCACGTTTTCATTCGGTTTTCCCTGTATCAAAAATAACATGCACCAGTAGTTTCTTTTGAAGTATATGAACGCATATATGACAGAAAATGCAATGCAAGTGTGTATATATGTCCACAATTAAAATTTCTTCCTACAACTGTTATCGTGTGTTTCCTTTGTGAAAGCAGCCACTTTAGCTGGGTTAACACTAGCCGGAGGAGGGTGGCTGAGCAACCTAATTGTTTACCTGATCGATCAATTCCATATAAACAGCATCGATGCTGCTCAAATAAATAACGTGGTATGTGGATGCACGAGTTTGTTTCCTATTGTTGGAGCAATCATTGCTGACTCATTCCTCGGTTCGTCCGCTGTCATCTGGATTTCCTCCGTCATTTCTTTACTGGTAATTGTTGGAAATTTACTTCATCAGTGGAAAATAAAAATATTTCCCATTAAATATCTACTTTGTGTTTAGATAGAAATCGTGATAGAAAATATACATTTGTTGAATTCTACAAACTCTTTTGCTTGTCTTAAACACGAATAATCACGATTTGCAATCCATAGTTGTCCAATTGTCCAACCTCCAATGAAAATTCACACATGAAACAATGAGAGAATTCTGATTTTTTTCCTTGTGCTAACAAGGATATGAATTGTGTTATGTTATGATTTTCTGAAATCATAATAACTTATTAAGGATGACAATGGAGCATGTCAGGGCAACCTCCCCCGTCCCGTCGGGTAATTCCTAGCCCCATTAAGTGTTTAAGGCGAGGCGGGGCCTTTGTTACCCGTACCCGCCCCGTCCCTAACCCGAATATCGGATTAAGCGGGTAATCTCCGCTTTGTTTCGGGCGAGGCCCGCGGGTATCGAGTTTGTCGAATTTTTTTCTCATCCCTATAGCTTATTAATATAAGTCCCAGTGGACTTAACCCGTCACTTAAACTTAACCAGGTCCAATATTTAAAATTAATCCAATTAATTAATTCGGACATATTAACAAGCAACTGAATTAATTAATTGTCCAACACTTGTTAATTAATTAATTGATGAATCTCATTTTTCTAGTTCTCCTTTTAGTGTGTAACCCATTAGGTTCCCGATCACGCCACTTAACGACGCGAATTATTATTTTGATCTAATCAAAATCGATAAATCAAACTACTCTCTTTTAATTTATCATCAATTCACATTCGTCGTCATGCACTTTAGCTTATGAGATCAACTATTTACTTCACAAGTAAGAAATGTCACACTTAATAGTCTATCCGTAATAATGATATCCGTATCTCATTATTACTTACGATCATGGATGATTCGACATTCAATCATATGTAATTTGTATTTCACAATCACAATTCTTTGTCATTAACAAATTACTAAGATTTAAATCTAAAGACTCTGTTATTTAATTTAATTGAATATTAATTAAATAATATATCTGTCATAAAAATGCATCCATTATCTATTAAAAATGTTTATGTCTAAAGTTGATTGGATCTAAGCATAACGCTTACACTAATAACACAGAATCTCACCATTACCAGAATTTCTCCTACAATTTCTTCTGATATTTTCCTTTTTAAACCTGCTGCAGGGTCTACTACTTTTTCTTCTTATGGCAACAGTGGATGGCATGAGGCCTGAAAACTGTCAAAATGATTCAAGTTTGTGTACAATCACCCCATCTAAAACACAATATGCAATGCTATATTTAGCATTGACACTGGTAGCCATTGGGCTAGGTGGCAGCCGCTTCACTTTGGCAACAATGGGAGCTAACCAATTTACAAGGGCTAAACATCAAGAAACTTATTTTAATTGGTATTTTTTTACGTTGTATTTTGCCACTGTTATAGCCAGCACAGCCATTGTTTATGTTGAAGATAATGTGAGTTGGGCATGGGGATTTGGTATATGCATAATGGCAAATGTATTGGGATTAATCATTTTCTTGTTGGGAAAAAAGTATTATTATTATGACAAGCCACAAGGGAGCCCATTCACAAGCCTGGCTCAGGTAATTGTTGCAAGTTTTAGGAAAAAGAAGATGGTTTTGTCTTCCCAAAGTCCTGATTATTATTATGGAGATGATCTGCAAAAGAAGATTGATGAACTACCTACAAACAGCTTCAGGTAATATTTAATTTTATTCAGAACTTTTCATCAGAAGCCAAAAGTTGCCTGATCTTCGGGACCATGCCTGTTGCTAGTTAAGATCCATCTTTCTTTTATATCATAGTGCTGCCTTTTTTTAATGCGTAAATTGAAAGTTGAGTGCGTGTGAGGTCTTTTTTTTTTAATAATCTCGATGCCACCTCTATGAAAGTTGAGTGCATGTGAGGTCATTTGTGAATCTAGCCTATATACTTGTTCCCCCTGTGATATACTATTTCTTAACTTTCACTGCAAGTAGAGAATTCAAATTAGTGCCATGTTGGGATAAGATATTTCCTGCTTCTTGTTGTAATTGGTGGCGGCCCACCTTCTTTAAACAAATCTTCTTTTCCCTAACAACCAGTTTGACTACTGTTAGTCATTTCAAAGATAGATTATTTTGAAATTAGGTAATGAGACATATGATAAGTTCAGCAACTTTTCTTTCTGCTGATCTTGCACCTTTATCCTATGAATTAAAAATTATCATAGGACAAAGGGATACAGATTGTTGACACTGATTTATGTCATTGGCACAAATAAATAATAATATGTGTTTCTTTGATATATTGTCACATAGGTTACTGAATAAAGCAGCAGTCAAAATTGAAGGAGACATACTACCAAATGGCTCAATTGCAAAGCCATGGAATATTTGTACTGTGCAGCAAGTGGAAGACCTCAAAACTCTATTCCGAATCCTGCCATTATGGTCGAGCAGTATACTTTTAGGGGCTCCGATTGGAATTCAGGCAAGTTTATCGGTTCTTCAAGCTCTAGCCATGGACCGTCACTTGGGACCGCATTTCAAATTCCCAGCAGGTTCCCTTCTCGTCTTCACACTAGTAACCACTTCAATATGCCTTAGTCTCTTTGATCGTTTCCTATGGCCAACATGGAAGAAAATTTTCGGGCGAAATTCGACTCCACTTCAACGAGTTGGCATTGGCCACGTGTTTAATGTGGCCAGCATGGTAGTTTCAGCCTTGGTTGAGAAGAAAAGGCGCGTCACCGTCCATTCCCACCACCTTCAAGGTTCAGTCGTCGCCTTATCTGTCTTGTGGTTGGTCCCGCAACTGGTTATTGTGGGCATTGGGGAAGCATTTCACTTTCCAGGACAAGTTGCTTTGTATTATCAAGAATTTCCCACTTCACTCAAGAGCTCGGCTACTGCAATGATCGCCATGGTAATTGGAATTGCATTTTATTTGAGCACTGCTGTGGTCGATTTATTTCGAAGAGAAACGACATGGTTGCCCAACGACATAAACAATGGCAATTTGGACTACATGTATTGGGTCGTAGCAGTGCTCGGAGTCATCAACTTTGGATACTATCTTGTATGTGCACGCTTATACGAATACAAAAATGTATCGTACGGAAATCAGACTTTGACAGTAAAAAACTAATAGATCGATTCGATCATTAATAGAATGTTTGGGAGGAGGACTTTGGTGCAATGATGAATAAAATCCTTTAGTTGTGTAAATGAAGTTTTGTTGTGTACAAGTTGTGCTAGTAATTATGGGACTGGCTGCACGCTTTGTTCTAGTGAACTAATGAATGGTACCAGCATGGTTCCTCTCAGTGTATGATGGAACTTTTTCTTTTTCTCTTTCTTAAAATGAGTTGACCTTAGGTGGGCACTCCTCCGAAGTGCAACGGAGTTTGAGTTTATGGCTATGGGTGTTTTTATGATCGCCCATTATCCCATCCAAGTTAGTTGCCACGAACAAAAGCTTACTATACGAAATTTTCTACCATTTTTGCCGCTAAACAGTCTATTTTAAGATAATTTTCGATTGACTCTTTAAAGGTGAGACTCACTTTATATCAAAGATCAACATTGAACTTAAACTACAATAAATTCTTAATTTGTTTCTCTAAATTTTTGAGAGTTAATTACATTAATATTTTAGCTATTAATATCTAAAGTATATATATTAATTGATAAATGATGGGAAAATGATAAATGATGGTTAAAAGAAATCCTATGTTTATATGTAAGAATTAAGGTTGGAGGGGTACAATAATCATAATAATTAGGGCGGAAGAATACAATAATTTAATATTTAATTTACAATGTTAAAGTTTGTTGGGGTGTACAAAAAGTTCTACTCTTTAAATTTAGATATGTGATCTATTGTGACCAAGAATGTTTTTTTTTTTTTTGAAAAATAAAGATACTCTAATCTATTATCACGAATTTTTGTACAAAAAAAATTAAAATAAATTATATATATATATATAGTTGGAACAATGAAGGTAATAAAGCAAAAAGAATCAAGGTAAATATTGATAAATTTTACTTATAATTATAAACTTGTAGTGAAATAGTAAGTGGATTAAAAACTTCTTTTTGTTAGGGGTGTTCAAAAGTCTCGAACCGGATCGGACCGAACCAAACCCGAACCGAACCGAGCGGTTCTTTATAAATTAAATTCCCGAACGGATACCCCGAATCGAGAACCGATGGGTTTGGGTCGGGTCTCGGGTCTAACCGAAGAATTGAATAAGAACCAAAACTAAATAATTTTTTTATTTTTTATATTGAATTAATTAAATTATTTTATTTTTTTTAAACAAATTAGCAAATTAATTAAATAAATCAGATTATTTCATAATTTTAATTTTAAAACCCAAATCATTTTTAAAA